GAGAGAGAGAGAGATTGGTGACTTTGGGACTCGATGACATTTGGATCCAGACTCGACATTGGGATTGAGACATTGGACGAGGGATTATTTGGGACCTGTACCGAAGACTTGGTGTTGACGACTTGGTGTTGACGACATTCCCATCTTTCCCTCTTCTTCGTCTGTGTATGGCTGGGGACTGGCACACTCTTCGTGTGTGAGTGCCAGCCCCTTTCACACCATGGAATGATGATGTAGTATGTTTGGTCTGCATTGCGACATTGATTGGGTTGATCATTGGTATTTTAGCCTTCCGTTGCGCTATTTGTGAGAGAAGGTTAACAACAGTCGTATTTTTCATCACCACTTCAGGACACCCTTCACCACTTCAGGATGCAGCCTGCCTAAACAGGTGGTTTTCAGGGTCTTCGGACCTTTCACCACTTCAGAACAGCCTTCACCACTTCAGGATGCTACCTGCGTAAACAAGTGGTTTTCAGGGTCTTCGAACATTTCACCACTTCAGGACCATTCAGGATTTTCAGACTGCCCAAAACTTTCACTTCACCACTTCAGGATGCAGCCTGCCTAAACAGGTGGTTCTCAGGGTCTTCGGACCTTTCACCACTTCAGGACCATTCAGGATTTTCAGACTGCCCAAAACTCTCACTTCAGAATTGTCATTCCTGAATTTTCAGCTACTCGTTAACCGCTTGTGCAGAGATGTGTGGATGGAGGAGGAAACCGCTCACGAGGCCGCACATAGCACGGTTCAAGTTGGCAGTCCCTCACCGTCATTGCTACTGGTACGACCTTGATTGTAACACCTCCTTCCTTGGTATGGCTACAATTACCATCGGCCTCTTGGCGGGGAAGATCCACATGAAGCTGAAGCGCGATTGGAAGAAAGTCCGATGATGTATACGGCAGGCAGCAGAGAATGTGCGGACAAGCATTAATAGCAGCCAGACCATAGCGAGTAGGATCACTGCGGAGAGCTCAAATAATTTTTTTGTGGAGTAGGGAACACATAGATATGTTCCTCATTGTTGTGAGCAGGTTGGAGTGCCGTACACTTGCAACATAATTTGGCGGTAACCCGCATGATGTTCCAAGCCAGAACTTTGCAGGCAACCCACATGATGTTCCAAGCCAAAAATTTGCTGGTAATGCAAATGATGTTCTGAGCCTGGAATGTCTTTTGGTCAGTCATTTGCAGATCATGCATGTGGTCTACGACTTGCGGGGCGATTTGCAATTCATGCAAATGATGTTCCAGTCAGGGGAACATCTGGAGCTGCATCATGAGTGGGGACTGCCCCTTGAGTGAGGAGTGCACCTTGAATAGGGGACGTATCCGGCTGTGCAGCTGACTCGTGAATCTCCAATGCTGTAGAGCATGAAACATGGGCTACTGACTGCCGGCCTGAATTTGGACTGTCTGCACAGGACATGGGTGCGGATATTGTGGTTTGGAACACGGGAACAGCAATAAGCTGTGGGGAAGGCACAGTGAGAATCGGGGAGGACAAAGAAACAGGCTGCTGATCCTATCACGAGCAACGATATGTTGCATGCTGTCCACGATACGAAATAAGAGGAGTCGTGGTGTAGCAACTGAGGACGAGCAAGTCTCCGACAATGGAGGTGGGACAGAGGGAACATGAGAGTTGTTGGCAAGCACGTCTGTGGGCGAGATAGAGGCGACGAGCAGGAACGCAGCCGTCTGCGGCCTAGCATAGAAAGAGAGGAGAGAGCGGGTGACTGGGCAAGGGTTTGAAACAAACGACGCGTTCTAGAGATATGGTGGGAATGGCAGAACAGCGGCCTTTTGCCTTGGTCCTCTCTCTACCTCCCCTCTTTCTGTTTTTCCCCCTCTACCTCCCCTCCTCAGGACTCCTCACTCAGACATGAACGCAGTGTCTCTTAAGGTTCCAAATCCATCGTTTTCCTTTCAATCTCTTTTTATTGCCTTTCTGTTTTATTTTATGATATTTCTCTATTTTTTTCAATTAAAACAGGTCCTTATGCTCCTGGCTTCATTTCCATTTTGGGCAGTGTCAGTCTGGTTTGTTTTCCCCCGGTTCGTGGACTGGCTTTTTTATTGCTTTTTTTTTTCTCTAACATCCCCTGCTTTGTAATTGCTTTTTCTATTCTTTATCAACATGACCGACCATCGCTCACTGCTTCATTTTGCTGTTTTACCTCCCTCCCTCTCTTGTTTCACCTCCCTCCCTCCCTCCCTCCCTCCCTCTCATTCAGGTTTCCTCTGAGATCAACACATCCTTTTCCCTTTCCATCCCTTTCTTCTCCCATTCTTTTTGTTGACTGGCTCTTGGCTTACCTCCCCCTCCCCCTCCCCCTCCCCCTCCC